AGGTGGGGCTGAGAGAGCTCTCTCGAGAACTGCCCTTGAGAGAACAGCTCTGAGAGAACTTGTGACTGACCCAAGGTCACGCCAGCAGCTGCACGTGGAGGAGTGGGGAATCAAACCCGATTCTCCCAGATTAGAGTCCGCGCACTTCACCACTACACCAAACTGGCCCTTTGGCGCAAGTCCAGCAACCAAGCCCTGGTCCCCATCAAGCCCACAAACGCTGGCCGGCGGCCGGGGGGTGGGGGGAAGAGACTGAAGGCCCATACCGGGAGGGGCTGCAGACAGGGCTGCTGCTGTAGAAGCTGGTGAACCGCAGGCCTCCCGCCGCCATCTTGTCCAAGTTGGGGGTGGCAGAAGTGGGGTGCCCGTAAGAGGCCAGGTCTCCGAAGCCCAAGTCGTCGGCAAAGACGAGGACCACGTTGGGGGGCTGGCCGGCGGCAGCGAGCAGGGCCAGGCCGATCAGGAGCAGGGCGCAGAGCCCCACGGGAGGCATGGCCGAGGTGGACGCCCCGCGGCCGGGGCCAGGAACAGGCCGACTCTGGCCTAGGGAAGCCCCTGAACGCAGCAGCCTGTCCACGCCCAGCAGCCGGCTCCTCCTCCTCCACGTGTGTCCAGAGCAGCAGGCAGGGACCCAGGCCGAGGACGCCCAGCCGGCCGGAGAGAGCAGGTCACCTGCACACAACGAGCTCCAGGGGCAGGCGGGCTACCGTCATGCCAGGAGGGTGGCAAGGGTGACTCCCCTCCATCCGCCCCAAGCAGAGCCTTCTGACGATCGGACCAGCTGCGCAGCGGCCCCGTGTCGAGAAGAGCCAGCGCCGAGCAGAAAAGGTGCCTGCAAGAGAAGAAGAAGAAGAACTGTTTTTTATACCCCACCCTTCACTACCTGAAGGAGTCTCAGAGCGGCTTACAAACAACTTTCCCTTCCCCTCTGCACAGCAGACACCCTGTAAGCAGTGTTCCCTCTAAGCTGAGTTTAGTGCGAGCTAGCTCACAGGTTCTTAGCCTCCAGCTCGCGAACTGCCCCGGAGAGAACAACTCTGAGAGAACTTGTGACGGGCCCAAGGTCACACCAGCCGGCTGCAGGTGGAGGAGGAAGGGGGGATCAAAGCCGGCTCTCCGGATCAGAGTCCACCGCTCTAAGTCCAAGCCGCGACCCCAGACGGGGAGACCTCAGCCCCGGGAATCCTCCGAGCCCTTCAGGTGCAGGGCAGAGCGGGACAACACACCTGACCACTGTTCCCTCTAAGCCGAGTTAGCGTGAGCTAGCTCACAGTTGTTTAGCCTCCATTTCTTTCTCAGCTCGGGAAGGAGGGCTCCCCAGAGCAATGTTCCCTCTAAGCTGCGGAGTCTTGTGAGCAAAAATCCTACTCTGTGAGCTACTATTGGTATTCAAGTTGTGAGCGAGCGATTTGGCTGCTGCATAAATTAGTTTTCTCGGGAGCCACATCCTTCCTGAGTTAAGACAAAAATGTGTGAGCCGGAGGCTAGAAAACTGTGAGCCAGCTCAGACTCACTCAGCTTAAAGGGAACATTGCCGGTCCAGAGCAAACTGATTTATGCAGGAGCCAAATCGCTGGCTCCCCGCTTGAATGCCCGCAGTAGTAGCTCACCAAGCAGAATTTCTGCTCACCAGACTCCACAGCTTAGAGGGAGCCTTGCACCTGACCTCCCTGCTCCGGAGCAAGCCAGGCTGCCACGGCACCCCGGACGCAGCAGGAGCGACGGGCAGGCAGGCAGGGGGCGGCACCACCAGCAGCAGCAGCCCAGCCTTGCCCCGGCTCCGCCCGCAGCCCCAGCCCCAGCCTGACCTCCTGCTGTCCCGGGCGGGCTCCGATCCGCCGGCCCTCCAACCACACCAGCCCGCCGCCGCCGCTGCTGCTCCGGAGCGCCCTCGTGGCCGCCCGTCCAAAGGACACCGCCTGGGAAGACCCTGGCCTGGCACCGCCCGGCATGCCGGGATTTGTAGTCCGCTCGCCGGGGAGTCGCCGCTTAAAGGAGCCGCGAGGACCGAGGGAGGGGCGGCGGCGTGGCGGCTCCGGAGCGGAGCGGAGCGCCGGGGCCAGAGTTCTCCCTCCCTCCCTCCCTCCCTCCCGGCTCCGCCCTGTTTGCTGCTGCCCGCGGGAACCATCGCACACACCGTATTCGCTCTGAG